ACGAGATCCACACCCAGTACATCCAGGTGACGATGGAGAGTGTGACCTAGCTCAAGAGCATCTAGACGATGGTGGTGGAGTGGGGCTAGTAGAGTACGATGACGACTTCTTGGTTGAGGAGGAGACAGTGGAGGCATTGCCATCCAGGGAGGATCAAGTAGACTTGGATCAAAAGAACGAGGACTATCGCAAGTTCTACGAAGAGGTCTACAAGGAAGTGGGCGATTCGCTTGAGTACCAAACCCTGCTCTACGTGATGCCTCTACGTTCTCGGCAGAAGATTGATGTGAATGCTGCAATGAGACGGATGTATCTTCAACTGCGTCAAGAAGGGCATCCTGTGACAAGGGTTCATTCGGACAGAGCCCGAGAGTTGAAGTCAGCGACGCTGAGGCAGTGGTTGTATGAGAAGGACGTTTGGGTCACCACTGGTGAGTCCCAGACACCTCAGCAGAATGGTCGCGCGGAGGCTGCCGTCAAGAACCTGAAGAAGCACGCCAAGGTCCTCTTAGCGAGTTCGTCGTTACCTCGGGAGTGTTGGCCCCTAGCCATGACTTTTGCAGCCCACCAACAGCGCAAGCGAGCTACTGGCCAATCTACAGCAAGGGACCCAACCTTTGGAGCAAGGGTAGCTGTGAAGTCCAAGGTCTTTGGGACGGGAGGTTCCTACGATCTTGATCCTCGATGGCGTGAAGGCTGCTTTGTGGGCTACAGTAGCGACGTAAGAAACGGCTTGGTGGTGAGGTGTGAAGACGGGACCTTCGTTACAAGTTGCCATGTTCGAGAAGGCTTGGTGGACGCAGAGGCCATTGTGGGAGAGGAACAACTTGAAGCAGATCTCCCTCTCCCTACGAGGAGATTGAGGGCGAAGGCCAGATTGGCCTTCATTATCAACCCCTACGAGGACGTCGAGTTTCGCGCCAAGGAGCTCGAGGACAACAAAATGTACGAAGCGAAGGATGTCTTGAGTCTTTGGGAAGACCTGAAGAGAATTCCTCATCCCAAAAGACGAGGTGCAAAGCAAATGTTTGTGGAAGGAGATGGTTGCTCCTTCTACTCTGGTTGCTATGTACATGGTGGTGTTTGTGGAATTATGAAAACGGCCAAACACCTCCCGAATGTGACCTCTTACTTGGTGAAGGCTGCGAAGGAAATCACAAGGAAAAGTAGCTTTGGCTGTGTGGCCATTGTGGAGAATGTGGGTATGGGACCGCATCGCGACAGCCACAACCAGCATGGCACCGAAAACACAGTGACGGCCTTGACGAGCTTTGAGGATGGTCAAGTTTGGGTGGAGAAGTCAGAGGAGGAGTACGGTTTCAACTTTTTTTTGGAAAGAAGTCAAGGCGGGTCAATGGAAACGAGGAAGTCTACATGAACTACAACCCGGAGAAACAGTTTCCTTTCCACCTGGACAATGGCATCAAACCCAGCCCTGGAGCGGACGTCGAGTGACCCTCCTCACCTACACTCCTCGACTGTCTAATTTGAACACCAAGGATGAGGAGGAGCTCCACAATTTGGGTTTCGAACTACCTTCGCGGGATGTTCGTCCAGTTGACGCGAAAGAGGAGGCTGAGAATCAAACCTCGATGTTCGAGCCCCCGCAAGAGAGCAATGAAGCTACGTGGTTCTCAGGTTTGAGCAAGCTGAATGAGGACCAGAGGGATCTACTTGAGGAACTACAAGAGCGTTCAACTACCCTGAGACGCCTTCTTGAGGAGGAGGAAATCTTGGTGGAAGAATATCGCCGTATGGGCAAACAAGTTACAGAGGAGGCGCAGCACACCCATCAGCTACTCGTGGACATGATGGAGCAGACGACCGACGAGTTGAACCGCGCAGAGAATGAAGAAGTGGATCTTTGCTTGAAGGGTGCCCAATGTGAACCAGATGAAAGTGGAGAAATAGACGATGTGGAGAACCACCTCAACAACCTTCAAGGAGAGCTACAAGTTGTGATCAACGTTCCTTTGGACCAAGTGAAGAGGAACCTACCAGCCTGGGTCCCAGCCATTGACAAGGAGCTGGGAGTGCTTTTCAAGAACGGAGAGGGAGGCACCCTGAGAAAGATCAGCCTGAAAGAGGCAAAGAGACGAGAACGAGCTGGTGAGCTAACGATCGTTCCAAGTAAGCTGGTGTTCACTTGCAAGCCGCCCAACCAGGGCGCAGCGCCGAAGAGTCATGGTGACACAAAGAGCAAGGAGCCAAAGGCCAAATGGAGGAGGAAGTGCCGCCTTGTTCTCTGCGGCAATTTCGCCGAGAGACCTGAAGGACAAAGCCAAGCCGAGCTCTACGCGGCTGGAGCTTCGGCGGACTCGATGAGGGTCGCACTGGTCTTAGCCAGTGTGTGCTACTGGGCAGGCGCTGGTTCGGACATTAATGGAGCTTTTTTACTCGCCCCATGGCCAAAGCACATGAGACGCTATGCCATTCTGCCTCCAAAGACTTTGGTCTTGGCCGAAAGAGCCACAGACCTGGAAGCATGGGAAGTGGACAGGGCCCTATATGGGCTACGGGAAAGTCCAGCAGTATGGAGCGACTTCAGACGGCAACGCCTTCGTAGCGCCAGGGTGGCATGGAAGCAAGGCCATTTGGTGCTCAAGGCAACCGTCGTCGACCCCGAGGTGTGGATGATCCTTTACTCTGTTGAGGGAGCCCCTGATGTGCTGGCTGGCGTCCTTGTCACTTATGTGGATGATTTGCTGTATTTGGCTGAGAACCAGGTCATCATCACGCTTCATTCCTGGCTCTGCGAAGAATGGCCGAGCAGTCCACTTGAGTGGACCACAGATGGCACAAAGTACCTGGGTGTAGAGATTGTGCAGTCAGAAGGTCATTTTCTTATATCCCAGCGAGGCTACTTGGAGAGCCTTGTGAGGAGCTACGACCTGGAGCCTGGAGAGCATGTTCGCTTACCATGCCCTCGCGAGTGGCTTGTGGATGAAGGCGATGCTACAGTGGACCAAGAAGACTTCACCCCAGATGAGCTCAAGAGGGCTCAAAAGATAACAGGAGAACTGCTCTGGGTCACGAGGGCAAGGCCGGACATCCTCTTCGTTGTGACGATGATGGCTTCAGCGTTGGCAAGGAGACCGTGCCATGTTTACCGTGTGGGCTTGAAAGTAATGGCCTATTTGGCAGCATCAGTGGACGTCCAGTTGCAACTCGGAGGGCGTCAACCTGTGGACCCGATCAAGCAAGAAGCAGCAGCAGCAACAGACACTCAGACAAGCAGCAGCCCTACACCACATTGCATGAACATAGGGCTGAGGTTAGAGGGGTTTTCGGACGCTTCATTTGCGCCGTTTGGCGGACGATCCTACGGAGCCTCAGCTATTACCCTGAACGGTTCAGTTATTGCCTGGAAATGCGGCAAACAAGCTTTTACCACCATGTCGGTGGCAGAAGCTGAATTGTATGAAGCGGCTCAGACTACGTTGCTGATGAAGGGTGTTCATGCGTTGATCAAGGAGATTGTGGGCAAGGCTGTGCCTCAGGCACTTTACATTGACAACAGCGCTTCGGTCTCCTTGATTGGGGGTTGCCAGGGCTCGTGGCGTACGCGCCACCTGAAGGTCAGGTGTGCGTTCATTACCGACATGGTACAGCAAGGCGAGCTTGCTGTGAGCCACATCAGTGGCCAACTACAGCTGGCTGATTTACCTACAAAGCTGCATGGCAAGGTGCGCCTTGCCGAGCTCATGAACCTTTGGGGCTTTGTGGGTGGGCCGTTGGCCCGCATCAACGACAAGACGAGGGTTGCCGTGCTGATGTGCCTCATGGTAGCCTTGCTGGCCACCCCTACAGAGGCAGCAGTGCCTACTCAGGAGATTGAAAAGAAGGCGGTGCAGCTCGCTGGCTTTGACGAACTCACAGTTGTCACCGTGCTAGTGTGCATTGCGGCGGTGGCTATGTGGGAGCTAGGAAAAAGACTGGGATGCTGGCTACTGGGAATCAAAGAGGAAACAGCAAAGGAAAGAAGGCTTCGAAGGCTTCGAGATTTGGCGAGGACGGCAGCTCAGGAGGAGTTGGATCGAGAGTACCTGAAACGGGAAATCGAAGTCGAAACAGAAGCATGGAAGCGACCTTTGAAGGCTGCTTCAAGCGACCCAGTGTCTTTACCTGGACCGAGCGTGAGGTCTACCGCGACGCAGACCCCACAGATGAGCGAACCAGAGCCGCGAGTTCAAACTCGCATTATTTACCGGGATGCCCCGGTACCTCAGGACGTTCCGGTGAGCCAGTTCTGGAAGACTAATGATCACCGGAGTCGAGTACACACAAGGAGGGACTGCCACGGCCTCCGCAACTCAGGGGTGGTGTTCATGACGGAGTACTGCCATTACTGCGAAGGCCGAACGCCCTTGTTTACAAGACAAGGATGAGTGGCAGGTCAAGGAACGTGATGCGGCAGCCTCGATGGAGACGTTGACACGTTTAGATGCCAACATAAGGCCGTCTGGTTGTTCGCTACAGAATGCAAGTATTACTCGTGGAGCGAGTAAGCACTACGATAGCTTCTTCACGATTCCTGTGTAAAGTGTGGTCCCTACCGAAGGCGAGGGCCCAAGGAGGAGTGTTGAAGCCTTAAGATGTGTGTCGCTTAAGACGGAAGCTGATCGCTTGCCCTCAAGGCTCATGAGAAAGCTGAAGTCATGTGCACACGATCTACGTAGACTCCGAACTTTAGCATGAAACATGCAGCTGTGATTTGTTCGTTGCAGTCTGGTGAAAACAGCTGAAGCTTGCGTGCCATGGACCGAACCTCGTAAGCCCCTCCAGTGCTCTAACTGATCATCAAAATCCTATGGCAAACAACTTAAAACCAAATCCTTAAACCCTAAAGCCCAACAAAGGAAACCTTACAAACCTTCGAAGGTATGCCAAGTCGATGATGGCCTGTGCGGCCTGTAATAGCCCACAGAACCCTCAAGCGTAGAGCAAAACCCAGAGAGCCCAATACCCCTTAATTAAGGAATATACCTTAAATCATAATGTTAAGGCCCCTATAGTTTAAGGTATATCCCTTATTTAAGGGGGTATTGGGCTTTCTGGGAAGCCCAACGAAGGCCAATGCCCGCCGAGGATCGTGTGCAAATGCTCCAAGCCGTGGAAAGACTTGATCGCAAAAAGTTCCTGAAGTCAGGGGGCACTTGCAATGCAGATCTCATTATCTCGGGGTCGACATGCGGCTCCCCTTTTCTTTCCAGAAGTCCAACCGTTTTTCAGATTTAGGGATTGTGTGTGTGTGTTGCTTTTGCGTTTGTTAAACTGATGTGTCTCCAGTGCCCAAGGTTTAGGTTATACTGGGGAATTGTTGGGTGGTTGGGTTGTGACTTGTGTAGAAAGGCTCCAGTTCGAGACACGCACGTCTTCTCCAAACTTGCAAGGGGCTCTAGCCGAAGTTCTGGCACAAGCTTTACATACTCGCTCAAGACCCTAAACCTTAGTCCCTGAATCGCGTGATTGGGGTTTGGTGGTGCCCCGAAAGGGTGCTACTGTTGATGATATATGACCTTAAGGACCCTGGGGAATTATGGTATATTCCTTATTATGGGTAATGCAGGATTTATATCATCAACCGCAGTAAGGTTTCTGGGCGCGAGCGAGCTGAACCCTAAACCTTGAAGACCAAAGCCTAAACCCTAAACCTCCAAACCCTAAAACCCTAAACCTTGAAGCCCAAAGCCCAAACCCAAAACCCCCAAACCCTTAAACCCTAAACCTTGAAGCCCAAAGCCTAAACCCAAAACCCCCAAGCCCTTAAACCCTAAACCCTAAACCCTAAAGCCTAAACCCTAAACCCTAAACCTGGTATATTGCTTAAGTAAGTGGCTCTGGGATCCCCCGGCCCGCTCTGGCTTGCCAACTTTGGGGTTTAAGGGTTTGGGGGTTTAGGGTTTAGGGTTTAGGGTTTAAGGGTTTGGGGGTTTAGGGTTTAGGCTTTGGGCTTCAAGGTTTCGGGTTTAAGGGTTTGGGCTTTTAGGGTTTAGGCTTTGGGCTT